TTAATGAATCCCTTAAGGTTGTTAATCCCTCTATATGCCATTCTCACTACTGATCCTTTATTAAAGAATTTTTTAATCTTTTCAGATAGAAATGGAATAAAAGGAATAGTAAAGAACTTGTTATTAATTTTATCAACATTATTAACTGTCGAGCCAACTCTAATTGTGTTATTATGATCATTCCATCTTTTGAAATTCCTTGACAGTCTATTTTTTATTTCTGAGAAGATGAGCTTCAAAGGATATCCATTGTTAATAAGAATTTTAATAATAAACTCAAAATTAGTTTGATGATATATCGGGTGGGACAAAGACAATACTCTATCAATTAAGCCCACAATTGTGCCCACTTTCTGGCATAAAGGATGTCTAGAAAAAAAGTTTAAATACCGGGCCGAAAAAGTTGGTTTATGATACCAATTGTGGATAAGAGAGTTAGCCTTTTTAATTAAGCACACATCAAGAAAATTCAAACTGTCTCCCCCTATTTCTGTTGTAAATTTTAACCTAGAATGAATCGAATTAAAACTGTCAACCAACATATCGATCTGTGACTCATCATATGATAACGCTATATCATCCACGTATCGAACATAAAACTATGCAACTACTGGAGTCTTTCCAGCTGAACTTATGATGAGAAAGCAATTGAAATGTCGTTTAGATCTTCTTCATCCCAATGTAGACTCCGTTTCAGAAATAAGCAAGAAAAGCAGCAGCAGCAATTTAACAAGAACGTTCCCGTTCGTCAATATAATATTGGAGATAAAGTTTGGGTCCGAACGTTTGGAAAAAATGACCCAAAATGGAGCCTTGGAATTATTACAAAATCTATTGGTCCAGTATCATATATCGTCCAAGCAGATAATCGTACTATCAAACGACATGTGGATCACATAATTTCAGCATCTTTTCAGAAACTACCACAAACCGACTCAAGTGAAATCATTATCAACCCAGAAGAATTGTTTAACTCATCGGAGCCAGAAGACGTTAACGAGTCAAATTCAGAGCCAAGGTCCACTTCCAGTGAAACAACAGAGAGGTCTCAGCGTCCTAAACGTAAAACCCAACCCCCTGATCATTTAGTATATACAAGTTTCAAATAAGAGGGAAGGAGATGTTGTATAGTAGCACCGCCACGGTGTGAGTATAGAGGGCGCGACGACTGCGGTTACCGACGAGGGACAGCAACTCTATAATAATGTTGTCTATATAGAGATATCGTAAACACGCTATTGTATTACATCACATCACACAAGTTGAGATACTAAATATATTATACACTTATATCAGTAATAGCCGGCACGTGTAGTTCATTTAGTGCGAAACACAACAAATAGTTTAATTAAATTTATTAAAACAGGGGAAGATAAATTAAATATAATTGGATAATAATCATGTGGTATACAAAATCAATTGTCGAGATTGTGAGTGTTCTTATGTAGGACAGAAAGAAAGCTTAAAACTAGAATAAAGGAACACAAAGCAGACATAAAAAAATTAAATAATCTCTCAGTAGTCTCATGTCATCGGCTTAATTTTAATCACAAAGTGAATTCGGAAAATATTGAAATTTTAGACTCTGAATCATCATTTTACAAAAGATCCATTTCTAAAATGATCCATATTAAAAAACAAGTTGATGGGATAAATAATCAAAGTGATACAGAAAAACTACCCGTTTTCTTACTACTTACCGATAATACAAGCAATATCATAGTTCTAAAAATTACTTTGAAAATTATACTAGATGGCAATTGGTTACCTTCCCACTACCTTTTTTGTTTACCCTTTCCTATTTCACAAAAATTTCCCCCTCTTTTAATGATAGAGACCTTCTAGAGAACTTATAAAATAAAGAAATTACAATCTAAACTCATTTGAAACCAATCTTTGGCTGTAATAATTTGACAAGAAGTAATCTTCCATTGTGAATCATCAGACGGAAATTCAAGATTTGGGTAAT